GTGTCGATATTTTTTTCCAGAATAATGGAAAACAGGGTGCCCCATAAAGTGTCGATCCATATATAAAAAGTGTCGATCCCAAAATCATCGAACCCAAAAGTATAATGTAATATGTAATTGTTCAATCTAACCGGTACAATTATACCGGTTTTATGAGAGGATATGTCTAAATAATGTCGACACTAATATAGTTTGTGTCGATACTAATTTAAATATCAAGTGTTTTCCACCGTTTATAGTACTCTTAATCGAGAAACCCTAAACATAAATGCAAGCAGGCAGATCTTCCTCTTTCTTCTACCGTATCATAGTGACGATCAGATATTCAGGTAATTTATCGATATTTTATGGGTTTGATTGATTTCTATATTGGAGTTTTATCTGAATGTGTTTGTGTTCCATTGTAATAGGGGTAGCATCCAACCAAAATGGCTCCAAAACGTCAGCGTCAGAAGCGAGGTCTTTCTCAAAGCTCTTCTCAACCCAGTTCTTCTCAACCACCTCCTTCTGTAACAAACGATTCTTCTGAGGAAATCAGGTCCTTCGAAACTCTGAACTTTAGATCCGACATGGAGAAACAAAGATGGCAGACGAGTTTTAAAGTAAGGAAGATTCGTCCCGAACGTGTCATTGACCTGGGTTTCTTGTTTGATGATAAATATGCATTTAGTTTTAACATTTAGTTTTAAATCCACATTTACATCTTGGGGTTGGCTTGAATTCCTTGGTGTAGAACCAAGATATTATCCCAACCTAGTTAGAGTCTTCTACAACAATGCTTCCTTACAGCACGAGCCTAAAGACTAATATAATAGGAATTAATACACATGTCATGGGGAAGGATATATATATCTCCAGAAACTATTGCGGAGGGTTTAGGTGTAGCGAATACAGGGGATTCAGATGAAAATGGTGTAGATTGGTCTACAATTAAACGGGTTACTAGAAATAGCCCAATTCACCTCGATGTAGAGTCCAGAGTGTTTCACAAAATGCTCACATGGTATATCCGGCCTAGTGGGGGAAAACATTCAACGCTTCGAGACAGCGATTATTGGTGGATAGCAAAGTATAAATCCAAAACGGCTCCAAACATTGCAAAACTCATATTTAATACAATTGTATATATGGTCACAAAGGGAGCAACAATTTCAACTACACTACCATATGGATGTGTCATCACCCATCTGTTGAAGAAGAAGGAAGTTGATTTTTCGCATGACGCCCCTGTTCGATTAACCCGCAAGATTGACATGGTATTTATTAAAAAAGCGGGATATGATTTTGTTGAAAAACTCGGTTGGAAGCGTGTCAAGGAGGTCGGATTAGATCAAGAGAGGGAGGAAATGGACCCCGTTGGCCATGAAGAAGAGCAACCAAGTGGAGACGCAATGATGGAAGAAGCTCCAGTTGCAGAGGATGTCACAATTAAGACCGTGATGGAATACATGGTCAATTTTCGGGAGCATATTGATTCCCTTGTGAGTGGAATGCGATCCGATATTTCATCATTGCAACGTGAAGTCTCCATGTTGCGTAACGAATTACGTCAACGACATTAATAGGTAGCCCTTATATAATGTAATAGGTATCGTTTATATAATGTAATAGGTAGTGGTTATATTGTAAAGTTTCTATCCTTTTTATAAAAGTGTCCATACTTTTTTCACTGTGGAAAACATTAATTTAATATTAATTTTTGAGTGAGTTTTAAGATATTAATTTAGTAATTATAGGCGTCTAATGATTTATTTTTTACGTTACGGTATATATTATTATTAAATTAAAAATTCTAAATAATATTTTATAAAATATAAAAACAATCAAATAATTTTTTTCTGCAAATGAAATTATTAAATCAATATTGTAGGTGGAAAACATGAAACACTGTTAAAAAAATTGAAACATAAATTACATAAGTTTTAAAAAAAGTATCGATCCTTTTTTAAAAAGTATGGACACTTTCAATATAATAGAACATATGATGTAATAGGTAGCCCTTATATAATGAAATAGGTATCGTTTATATAATGTAATAGGTAGTGGTTATATTGTAAAGTGTCTATCCTTTTTATAAAAGTGTCCATACTTTTTTCAATGTGGAAAACATTAATTTAAGGTTATCTTTTGAGTGAGTTTTAAGATATTAATTTAGTAATTATAGGCGTCTAATGATTTATTTTTTACGTTACGGTATATATTATTAAATTAAAAATTCTAAATAATATTTTATAAAATATAAAAACAATCAAATAATTTTTGTGCAAATGAAATTATTAAATCAATATTGTAGGTGGAAAACATGAAACAATGTTAAAAAAATTGAAACATAAATTACATAAGTTTTAAAAAAAGTATCGATCATTTTATAAAAAGTATGGACACTTTCAATATAATAGGTAAACATATGATGTAATAGGTAGCCCTTATATAATGTAATAGGTGTTTATATAATGTAATAGGTAGTGGTTATATTGTAAAGTGTCTATCCTTTTTATAAAAGTGTCCATACTTTTTTCACTGTGGAAAACATTAATTTAAGGTTATCTTTTGAGTGAGTTTTAAGATATTAATTTAGTAATTATAGGCGTCTAATGATTTATTTTTTACGTTGCGATATATTATTATTAAATTAAAAATTCTAAATATTATTTTATAAAATATCAAAACAATCAAATAATTTTTTGTGCAAATGAAATTATTAAATTAAATAATTCAAATTGAAAATTAAACAACAAATCAATTAAACATTGTTGTGGGTACATTAATTGAACATTGTTATGGGTACATTATTTGGATTAATTTCGTTGAGATGGGTTATGTATAACAAAACAATCTATCTCGCATGTGAGTACTTTATTCCAACCATGTGACAAGTGTGACAACTCCATCAACTCACAACTCAGCTTTGAACTCAATCAATATTGTCTTTTAGCTTGATGGTTCATAAAGCATGTTACTTGAACAGTATGAATCAATTATGCAATTTTCATGTTCAATTTAACACTGCATTTCAAATTCATTTCATATGTAATTGGAGTTTGAATTTAAATTTCAATTTGAGTCTGAATTTCAATATATATTTCGGCTCCACTATAAATATTAGCCCAAGCCAATATGCATGTTATCATTGATTATTCCTAATTTCCATTGTTTTTTTTCCAACGTATAAATGCGAGGGAAATCCCGACCATTTTATTTTTTGGTCAACTTTAAAGCGTCAGAAACGTTTCGGGCGTATGATCTGGGTGGTATACAAGAAATGTAACAAATAGCAACTAAAATCATAAGTTGAGTACCACCCAAATCATAAGTCTGAAATACTTCCGATGCTCATCAAAATCCAAAGCTCATATGGTGCCAAGCAAAAGGAAATCAAAATCCAAATCTCATATGATGCCAAGCAAAAGGAAATCAAAATCTACAACTTGAGTTTGAACATTGATATGATATGTTCAGTTGTTATCATGTTGGGATTTTCTCGTTTTTGATTGCTTGGATAGTTGTTCTCTTGCTTCTTCAAGTGTTCTTAAGATATTAATTTTTGAGTGAGTTTAAGATATTAATTTAGTAATTATAGGCGTCTAATGATTTATTTTTTTCTGCAAATGAAATTATTAAATCAATATTGTAGGTGGAAAACATGAAACTGTTAAAAAAATTGAAACATAAATTACATAAGTTTTAAAAAAAGTATCGATCCTTTTTATAAAAAGTATGGACACTTTCAATATAATAGGTAAACATATGATGTAATAGGTAGCCCTTATATAATGTAATAGGTAGTGGTTATATTGTAAAGTGTCTATCCTTTTTATAAAAGTGTCCATACTTTTTTCACTGTGGAAAACATTAATTTAAGGTTATCTTTTGAGTGAGTTTTAAGATATTAATTTAGTAATTATAGGCGTCTAATGATTTATTTTACGTTGCGATATATATTATTATTAAATTAAAAATTCTAAATATTATTTTATAAAATATCAAAACAATCAAATAATTTTTTGTGCAAATGAAATTATTAAATTAATATTGTAGGTGCATTCACATGAAACACTGTTAAAGTATCGATCATTTTTATAAAAAGTATGGACACTTTCAATATAATATAATGTAATAGGTAAATTTGCAATGCTATCGGTATAAATATACCGGTTTACTTATAAAATAGGTAAATATAAGCGCTATCTATTACATTATATAAGCGCTACCTAGTATGTTATTGTACTTTATAATATTTTCGGTTAAATAATATAACATAACCGGTCTAAATTTTAACCGGTCACTTGTTTAACCGGTCACGCCGTATATTAGCCGTTTTTTAGGCGCCGCACCGCAGAACCACCCTCACAATAGACATATATTAGTATATTTAAGGTTGACAATTTAATCCAAAACCGACAGGTTTTAACCCAACCTGATCATCATGATAGACATATATCAGTATATATGATTACGGTTGATAATTTAATTCGGAATCGACAGGTTCTGACCCAATTCGATCCAATAGGGTTGGTTCTTTTTTTTTTTAATTATCAGGTTGAGATTGGGTCGAGTCAGATTTTTTTCAAGGGTGGGGTGAGGTGAGGTCAGATTCAACTGAAAGGTGAAAAAATTCCAATATGATACAAATATAATAATGTAATTTCCTTCAAAAAAAATTATTATTATTTTAATTAAATCATTACTTTATATCCGATCAAGTCAAGTCAGATTTATACTCTATGAATTTAGGTTAGGTCAAGTGGAAGATATATTTTCCAGGTCAAGTTGGAAGAAAAATGTATAATTTCCGGATCAGGTTAAATTCGGGTAGAGGGTATCTATTTTCTTAACGGGTAGAGTTGGCCGAAAACCCAACCCTAACCCGACATATTTCCATCCCTGTATATGATTGTGAAAGCCGTTTAGATTAGAATCAATTAATAACACATCTTATAAGATAATAATAATAATAATAAAAATACTTGCAGCAATTTTTGTTTCTCAATTCAGATGTTTTTTGTTTTCATACATATATCCCTACCAAATGCGCCAAATTCCAAGCATTTCAATCACACAGGGAAACATCAATTTGATTACAAAAGAGATGCTTGTATTTTTTGATATGACCATACCGAGGCTGAGAGGCAAAACCGATCGAACTACGACGTCATGGACCGGAAAAAAAAGAAAATTCTGTACAGATATCGCCTGCCGAAATTCCATACACCACTTACCGGAAGAATCGAAACAACGGTTGTACTACTGTGCAACCTGCTGCTAGGATTAGAAAGAAAACATCGAGGCCAGTAGATCTTTCGTGTTGGCATTTTTACGCTTAATCAACCGATCAAAACTCCGAGCCACCATTTCGAGGAAAAGAATGTTTGATTCTTTACGTATTTCATCAGCTCAAGAACTGAATGGTGTTGGCTAATTTCGTTCAGTCGACACTCTCCAAGGTTTATCGGGTCGTTATTCTACCCATCACCACCATTTAAGTCCTTGGAACATTCTTTAATTGCCTCTGCAGTCATGAGAGCAACCACAGCCTTGTGAATTGCAAGATCTGCTCTGAAAAGCAATCTCTGCGCTTTTTCTCTCTTAAACTTGGCCTTTTTAAGTGCATGCTGCGCTGCACTAGATGCATCACGCAATGTGAACTCGTCGATATCAGAGTTATCCCACTGTTCCGGACCCTGCCTTTGAAAGCCATCAGGAAGGTAATGCCGCTGGCTTGGCCACTCAAGGAAGTCCCTGTTCCATCGGTGAATTCCATTTCTCTTGCCAATAAGCCTCTGATTGTATGAATCCATCATCTGTGCATCATTTGATGGCAGAAAAGTGACATACTTCTTTGACTTGCTTCTTTGAAGTTTACGGAGATGATTTTTATCGAACCTGTCACTGCCCATGGGGAAGTACCCCATGCTACCAACATCTCGTGGTGAAAATAGCCTTGGTGAAACTTGAGACAGTGGAGAATCTTCGAAAGAATCGTAGTTATGTGCAGGATATAGAAACTTTTCATCCTCAAACAGGAACCCATTTGACCTTCTGCCTGAAATGACAACAAATGAATTCAGTTTGCAAAGGGAAACATCGAAAAAAATTAAAAAGAAGAAAGTGGAAGCGTAAAGAACATTTACCAAAGGAATGACAACCCTCGTGATCTCCCAAGGCATGATGGTTTTGACCGGAAACTGAAATTTTCCTCTGGGATCTATACTTTGACCCTTTATTCGGAAGTTCCAGTCCCCGGGGTTTCATACAGAAAGCAAACATGGGTGGCTTCTCACAGGCTTTAGAGTTACCTTTAGACATTGCTTGCTCCCACTCTCTCACTTGCTGTTGGTACCTTTCCCACAATGGCAGCTGAATAAAAAGCAAAATATTGTTTAAAATAAGTTGACATCATAAAATATTCAAGAAAACAAACACATGCACAAACAAACCACGGTAAAATAGTAAAATTGTCAGGTAAAATCAGAGCCTTGAAAGATGAATTTGAAAATTCTTCAGGCTCTTGAAAAGGATAGGAAATAGATGGAATACAATTCAGACAACCCATCATAGACTCAATAGTAATTAGGTTTAAAAAGAAAGAAGAGAATCGATAACTAACTGAAACAAACAAACAAAGCTAGTTACTGAAATAAACTGAACAATAATTAACACAGATTTTCGGTTTTCCCTTTCCAGGATCTTGATGGCAAGTACATGTGTTTCTGAAGAAATTACATCTAAATAAGGCAATAAATGAACATTATTCAGACTACTGAATACATCTGTGCAGAAACAAGTACTTCAGGTGACCTTGCACCAAAAAGATGTTGACAATTTCAATCTGCTAGTAAAACTAAAAGGCATTTACCAAAAGAAACAAATGCATGAAAAGAAAACCAAGGTTTTTCAAAAGATACCTGGAGATGACGGATTAAAGGCATTCCAAGTCTCTGTCTCTTCTGTTGCCAATGCCCATAGATTGCTGTGGTTACGTTTAAGGACCCAACTCCAGCCATGAGCTCTGGGATTTCTTCAGAAGTAAACTGACTGCACTGTTGAGTATATGCAGCCTTCTCAAACATGTCCATAACCTTCTCAAACATTTCATCAGAAAATTCCAAAGAATTACCGATATCACTTTCTGAAGTTTTGCGAATTCTCGAAATCCACTGTTCGTCATCACTATCCATGTCATATAAAACACGGGATGGATTCAAAGCCATCTCAACATCAGTGTCAACCTGGCGCAAGTACTTTGAAGAACAACGAACAAATGACACTTCTGTCACATTTTCATCATATTCCTCTATTAAGCGAACCCCAGGAATAGGAATGTTCTTCACAGAAGCAGCACGGAAATTACGGTTGTAGCACTCTTCATGCATCTCCTTGAAAATAGCCCACTGACTCCTGTCTGTGAACTCCAAGATCCAATCTTTCCCTCCTTTCCACATCATAGCATGTGTAAAACGATTGGTGGATCCAAGCTGCAGGAACTGATGTGCCTTGTAAGAGTACCTTGTAGACCCTGACACTTTAACAGCCAGCTTCCATTCATTATGATCAAAGAGCTCTAGCGCAACCTGCGCTCCACATTCTCGCCATCCTCTGTCACCAGTAGTAATTAGTACATTTGCATCACAAAATAGTAACTCCAAATTCCTTTGGGAGCCTCTAGAAACATCAGATGATCTCATTTCATTAGCCCTCCTGATTCGCTTTTGAGGAAGGGCTCTCTGCTGCTGGCCTTTATTTTTTGAGCAGTAATCTAAGCTTCCAAAGGGCATCGAGTATGATACCTGAGACCATGGCTTTTTAGGTCCATTTCCAAAGTTACTGTTGAAGAAATCAGCCTTTCCATCTGACCAACCATGAGTATGATAACCAATCGATAAACAACTTCTATTTCGATGCCATGTACTTCTCGGAGCAGTGGGATTGGGACTTGGGATAATTCCACCATTCATACTCCAAATCAAATCAGCAGACTGCCGAGTACTGGGTAATTCACTGTCAACACGCTTTCCATATTGATCAAAGGGTGGAATCTCAACCCTAATACCATTCAAAACAGAACAACCACTTCCATTCTTCTTATTACCATCAACTGGACACTTTGATGACACAGCAAGTTGCCGAGACTCTGAAATGTCACATTGTTGCTTCGGTAATGAACCAATGGCTATGGCTCCAATTTCTTCAGGTTCATGAGAGCTAGCTGAAGTTCCATCAACGATTTGATCACCATTTTTGTACTTCTGTGAGGACTTCTTCAGACATACATTACCACAAACAGAGAGACCAAGATTTGTTAACTCAGCATCAAAAGCAACATCCTTTAATGAAGCCTTCAGATTTTTTTCTACACTATTTTCAGAATTGTTCATACAGTCATCTCTACTACAACTGTCATCCAACAACAAATTCCCAGACCTTCCTGGTTGCTCAATGTTGTCATGATCGCGAAAGCTGATGCAAGAAAGACTACGTTCCATAAGTAGCTTAAGATGCAAACTAAGAAAGAAAGTAGGTGCAGCACCAAAAGAAAGGGCAAACTGAGGAAGATTCCTATGCTTCTCAGAATTGCAAGAAAACTGGCCAACTTCCAGAAAACCAGATTCTTTGGAGACACCCATACGGCTGATACCTGGCTTATATTTTCTCCTCCTTAAACCCTGGTCAACAACAAACAAATTTCATACCATTTAATACAGCCACAAAAAAGGAAGGTATTAATATGACTGTACGGCAATTGTAAAACTCACCAGCGCTCATGGTTGATAGTTAAATGACCAAAAATGACAGAACATAAAGCTAAAAATTAAAACTAAATGGAGTTTTTTTCTGAGGTATTGGCGAGTTTGGTTTTTGGGGGGAAAGAAAAAGATAAATTGAAGTATTTCCATGCAATCATAAGTAAAACAAACAAGAAAACCACCATTGAGGTTTTAGTACCAAAATCACATGGAGAATAAGCATACCTCAACTGTTGAGGAGTCTTTGCAAGCAGGAGAACCAAGTAACCGATTTGTTCCATTCTGAAGCGCCTTAATGTTATCACAAGTGCACTCGGACAGAGGCAGTTGCCTATTAAGTAGACAATGTCTTTTCAACTTATAGTCCAGTAACATCCATTTTGACTGCTTCACTTCATGGAAGTTGTAAAAAGCAAAGACAAACTGCCGCCTAAGATCTTGAGAGCAAGTTAATTTGAACCTGATTGAAGTTATAGGCAACTGCAGATCAGGACACTTCCCCCGCTCAGTAGGTCGAGAAAATACCATAAGGATCTGGAAAACAAAAGCTATAACCTTTTTCAAGGAACCTTCAAACAGGAAAAACCTTAATCCAACTTCATTATCAACAAAAAGGATCTCCATGTGAACCATTGGCCAGACAGTCATCACCATTCCACATTGCAGTAACAACAAAGTACGAAGCAGCCAAAGGCTATCTGTACCAAATAAGTTATCTGAGACAGAGAGCATAGGGACGCTCAACCCAACCCTGAATTGTTTTGAATGTATCAATGAAATATTTAATTGTAACTGCCCTACGTTATCACTAAGCAACAAATCTCGTTCAGGATCCAACCATCCCACGCAAGGATCAAGTACACCCAAATCCTGAAATTCATCAACACAGCCAAGGGATGTGATAGATTCAGAAACATTACTGCCAATACAATTGCTTTTAGAAGCCTGACACAATGCTTTATCCATCTTGCGAAAACGCCTTCTAAAATATACAATAGGATGTTTTTTGTTGGGGTAACTAGTGCTATCCAACGAAGAACCCTCAACCCTTCTGCTATCAACTGGTCTGTTTGACAATGCAGTGGTGTTGAACAATTTAACTTTACTTCCCTTCAATGAACCTCCATAGGGACAACCATTTTCATCTACAGCATCATTACACAAAAATTGTTGAGTACAAGAACCAAGAGATGAAACAGACTTTTTGTGTCTCTTCATGGAACGCAAAGGACAGGATTTGACACAATGACTGGAGCGAGCCAACCAGGAGATGATGGGCTCAGAATCCATATAGTTCCAGTTAGTACTCTCATCTTCTGTCACGAAATTTTTCTTACCCTTCTCTTTCTTGAGCTTCACATTCTTGATTCTATCATCAGAAACTCTAACTCGCCGAGATCTTTTCTTTTGAGATTTGCAGGGAAGTTCACTAGGAAAAAGCAGGAGCTTAAATCTCTCATTCTGTAAATCTATCCATTCCTCATCACGGTCGTCATATTTTACATGATGAAGATTTCTCACTTTGTCGTAGTCGTAGACAAGGCCATAATACCAATTCTTGTCCAAAGGCCAGAACACCTTGATCCTTCGATTTAACACCCAGTGTGCATCCAAGTCCCCAGAGAAAATTTCATAAAAATGGCGCCTTCTCCTTGAGTTGGCCTTCTCTTTATGACTTTGCCGTGGTCTCAATATCCTACCAGAAGCATCGGCAGAAGCAGATGCAGAACCAGACAAATTCTTAGACACGGGACTAGCATTCTGACCAGAAGACGCAAGAAAAGATAATCCATTCTCAGATGGTGACACATAAACTTTACTGTTTGAAGAAAAGCCAGTACAGTTTGGGTTAAACCGTGATGATAACATCCTTGCTGCATTTTCTTCAAGATTCTCTTCATCTTCTTGAAAGGCATCACAAGTCTCTACAGAACTCTCAGCCTTGTTAGCAACACTTTTATCACCCTTCATTGAATCCTTCTTCTTCCTAGGCTTCCTCCGTGATTTTTTTTGCAAAGAGTTGACATCATTTACAGCTGAGTAACCAGCAATACCATCAGCTTTCTTCAAATGCTGAATTGAACTTGACTCACTGTTCCGGTTCTCCTTAAAATCATCAATAATCTTCTCCCGTTTAACCTTCAAAGACTCATTCTGAGTGCCATAGTCTTCACTAGCTAACTTCACTTCCTCATTAATAACTTCAATAATCTTCTCCCGTTTAACCTTCAAAGACTCATTCTGAGTGCCATAGTCTTCACTAGCTAACTTCACTTCCTCATTAATAACTTCTTCACTATTAGATTGCCCTGCCAGCTTCAATAATTGACCATCCTCAAATTTGCTCCGCCCCATAAACCGCCGCTTACGCTTTGGTATCCCATTACCATTGTTATCCAAACTAACTGAGACATCATCAGCAATGCTACCGTTCTTTGATTTCTGACTGAATCCCAACTTATTCAAACTTCCCAGATAATGCAACCTTGAACTCAACCCACCATTATACACTTCAGTTAAACTCTTGTTACTATTGCTATCATGGACGACGGTTCTAAAACTACTGAGAGGAAGAGATTTCCTGCTCTTCTTCCTCTTGGAATTATTATTACTCCTCTTCTCACCATCACCCTCTTGTGAACTTTCTTTCCTCTTCAAACACTTATTCTTAGAAGAATCCTTTGAATCACCACATTTATACAAACTCTTAAGATCCAGAGATCTTGATTTCTTACGAATTTCCTCTCCATGAGAGTTTCCTATTCTATTTTCCATCAACAAAACCTCAATCCAAACAAGAAAAATTGAATCTCCCAATTTTCACATTCACATCAAACATGTTTCAGATCTGAAAAACCAAAATTGCACCTAAAAACGAAAAAAAATGAAAAATCCCCATAAATTCAGCGATCAATCTCAATATCCGTTTATTCAGACTACTTATTCAACAAATAAAACAATCAGCAAAGAAACCGAACTAAAATGCATTACTTACCTGGATCGATGTAAAAAGAGAACATCAATTTCTCCGCCGAATCGTGGATATCAAGGGTACGAGTTTAGGCTATGGTTAGAATCTAGGGATTGCGAGTTGGAACCCTAAATCCCTATTTTCGAGATAAATTTTGTTTTCCGAAATTCTTTTTATTTTAGCATTTTTTATTATTTTATTTTTACCATGAGAGTGTCTAGAGTTTCCTTCGGTTTCACGAGAGTAACCAAATCAGAAAAATGGGGAAAATTGGTATAATGTATGCTAAACTTTGCTTGTCGATTCAGCTACGTGGCACTCTGTTAACCCTCCGATTTAGAACTTGCGGTCGAGATCTTATTTTAAAATTGCCTGATTAATTAATACGGATCGATATTTTCGTCTGAAAAAAGTAGATTTAGGAACGGCCATGAATTAGGGCTGAAACAAGTGGGATCGAGTTTGAGTGTTGTTAAGGTTGATTCAATAAAAAAAAATTAAATCGTGTTCGATTCAGTTTAAAATTTCATGAGTTCAAAATTTTTAAACTCAACTCAAATTTAAAGTCGTGAGTTGAAGCTTGAAAGATAAATAAAATTTTAAACTTAACTCAATTGAAGTTCAAATTCAAACTCGAACTTGAACTTTAAGTATATAAAACCTTCTTGCTACATTTAAAAAAATAAACACGTAGATATTAATATTATTAATAATTTATTTTTTTAAATAAAATTTTGATATATAATTTTTTCGAGTTACTCGTAAGTTTTTTAAGTCGAGCATCAAACAGCTCATTTTAGCATATTAAGAACTCTAATCGAGCTTGAATTTCAATCAAATTTATTCAAGTCGAATATTTATCGAACGTTAATCGAGTCTATCTCAAATACCTCATGATCTATTACGTATTATTTACGGTTCTAACTACGATAGACTATTCTTAAAGTGGACGGTTGGGATCTTGAATTGATGCCAGAGATGTGGGGTAGTTAAACGGCTCTCTGTTTGCTGAAACCGGTAAAATTGGAAGGGAAATGAAAAGGTTTATTCCACATTTCTATTTTCTGTTAGTTAAATGGTCCTAATATTTAGAAGAAATAGCAAATATGCCACCAGGTTTTTGAGTTAGTAGGCGCCATTAAGCAAGTGAGAAAAGCCACTCGCTGCGATGACAGGTGAAGAGAACTCGCTCTATTTGTGAACACGTGGCGGGGAAATATGTGAGCAGTGCCACGTATCTGGACTTGAAATGGCGAGTCGGCTGTCGTTGGGGTGACGTGGTGAAAACGAAAAAGTTCAATTAATTATTAAATTTCTTTTTCGAAAAATTAATTGTTAAATTGACAATGTTAATTAGGGGTGATTAGGTACGTAAATGAGATAAGACAGTCCGTGAGTAATTCGAGATTGATTCGATCAAGATTTGATAAATACTCGGATCGAATGGATTTGACTCGAGCTCGACTCGAATTTTTAACGAGTCGAAACGAGCTACTTGATATTCGACTCAAAAAGTTCGTGAGCGCTCGAAAATATAATATATTAAGATTTTATATTTTTAAAAAAATTATTAATAATAGTAACATTTATGTATTGATTTTTTTAAAAATACAGTAAGATTTTCATGTATTTAAGGTTTAAGTTCGAGTTTGAGGCTTCAGTCGAGTTAAGTTTAAGATTTTTTTTTCATTTCGAGTCTTTTCGAGTTACTTCAGTTCAAGATTTAGAGTTCGAGTAGAGCTTGAAATTTTTAAGCTCGCAAGTTTTCGAGTCGAGCCAAGCTTCATTTCAGAGTTTTCGAGTCGAGTTGAGCTCAGCAATACTCGAGCTCGACTCGGCTCTTTTACACCCTGTGTGATTGTTTGTTCGTTTGAGGTAAATTTTAAAAAAAGAAAACTATAAAATTAGTCACTAATGTTTGAGGTAATTTTTATTTTCTCCATTGATGTTTTAAAAGTTACAAATCAGTCATTAACATTATTGATTGATTACAAACTAGTCACTTAACGTTACCTAAAGCGTTTAATGCTTACATGAATTTAGTTGACTAGGTTGACCGTCATGTTGGAGATCCAAATACATCACTAACGTTCACTATCAGGGTTTCAAATCGTGGTCGTGATCGCGTTTTCGGTTATTTTGGATTTACCGTGATTTCAATCGTCGTGGACGCTATTACGGTCGTCGCAGACGCTATTGCGGGTAACTCGGATGGCATCGAAACCGCTATATCACAGACAAAATCACGGTCGTATACTTTTTTTTTTTGAAACCCTGGTCACCATTGTTGTTTTTTTCTCTCTCGTCACCACCCAAAGAAAACTAAACCTTCCCCGGATATCTCATCAGTAAAAGGTTCACCATTTCCAAGGGTCATATTGTTGTTGATAGGAATAGGAGAGCTTTTCCAGGTGGGTTTTGAGTGTATTCCATTAGCAAAAAGAAATGGTGTTTTGGGGGGAAGAAGGTGAAAAGGGAGGGGAAGATGGTTGTTTGGTTGAAGGAGTAGGATTATACTTAAATAGAGTTGGGAGCAATCCTGCGCCGGTTTGAAAAACCTGGCAATTGACCCCTCTGAAATTTATAGGCGGTGGTGATGACCCAAATTTGGCAGGATCGTGTGGCTTTACCTTGCTTCAACACCCACTTCCTAGAATCGTCGACCCACGCGTTCAAATCGCCAGAAACTTCGCTCCCGTCCCGGAATAACCGATTAAGCGTTCTCTCCCCGTTGACGACACCATACCTTCTTCTATAAAAACAACGTCTATTTCTGGAACAGAACTAATCCTTTATTCGAGCCGGTTTTTGGCCACTACTTGTTTGACGGCGACGAGATGGTTCACGCTGTTAGCATCAACAATGGCGACGCTAGTTACACTCGCCGATTCACAGAAACGTAAAGAAAACCATTCGACGTGGAACGGAAAGCAAGCCGCCACTACAGAACCGAAGATGAGGTTGCATTCTTTTCTCCTTTTCTTTCTTTATATGTTTAAAGATGGCAACGGGCCGGGTTCGGGTCAGGTATTAGTCTCCTGTTTTTGTCTCTGTTTAAAAAATTTGTATCCGTCCCGCTTAAAAAATAGAGGGATTTAAACGGGGATCTCCATCGAGTAATCGGGGAAAACGGGTATTCCCGTTTAACATAAACGATTATTTAAACAGATATCAGGCCGGATATCAGGCCGGATATCGGGCCGGGTATATATATTTAAATTAAATATATAAATATTATATATATATATATATTAATTTAAATTAAATTTATTAATATTATATATATATATATAATAATTATTTTTAATATTTATCGGGTTAGGTATCGGGTCGGGGATTATTAAACCTGTCCCCATCTCCGTCCCCGTTTAACATAAATAATTTTTCTCCATCCCTGTCCCTGTTTAGTATAAACAATTTTTTCCCGTCCCCGTTTAATACAATTTTCGATTTTCCTCGTTCGATTCAAATTTTTTTTTGCCATCCCTATACATGTTTGTGTTCGTGTTTGCGGATAAGTAGTATACACAAGTAATTAGTGTTAGGATCCAGTAATATTTATTTAGAATTTTTATTAATAAATTCTGTAAACATTATTATTAGAGTATAAATTTTTTATAAAAAAATATTATATTTTATTATTGAAGTCATTTAATATATTAATGATACTAACAAATGTTGTAAAAGAGATTAGTGAGGTTTTTAAAAGTGCAAGAATAATACTGTAAGCGTCACACCACGTAAGATAAGACATGACATAGTGCGACTTGTTGACATTTGATATTAAAATATTTTAATTATACTCGAGAGATTAAGGGTTTATTTATTTTTTTGTAATTTATTTTTTGAAAAATATTTTCTTTATTTTTTAGTGTTTGACTGGCGTAAAATAAATCATCAATATAATTTATTTTTTTAATTAATTGACTTTCTTTTTCGTTTTTTGGAATATGACTAACGATCTGATTTTTCATAAGTTATTTTACGAGCTTTTCACTTTAAATCTTAATCAGTCGAATTTTATTATTTATATCTTTAATATTAATATAGTATTTTTGGCATCATTTAAATAAAACACTAATTATTAAATTAAATTTATTGATGATTTTAATAATATAATATACTTCATATGTCCATTGTTTTTTGGTCAATTTTTTTAACTTTAACTTATTATTATTATTCAAAATTTATTGTTGATAAAAATATGAAAAAGTATATTTTAAAAATATTAAATCAAATAGTTTTTAAATATATATTTTATAAAAATTAATTTTTAAAATATTTAAAATAATCATGATTAAAATTAAAAAATTTGGCTTTTTAAAAGTTAATAATGGACAAATTTAATGGGATGGAGGGAATAATATTTTTTGAACATTATAATTATATTATTATAATATATAATAAAATATTAATAAAATTAATATTATTTATTAATTTCATAAATTATTTTAAAATCTTAATATTTTTATTTATAAAATTATAGATATAATATTTTTTATAATAATATAATTGATATAAATAATATTAAATAAGCTATTCTAACATTTTAAAAATAATACTATTATTTAATTAGTAAATAATATTATGTGTTCTATTTAATATTTACAATAAATGATTTCTAAAAAAAGGTAACCAGTGAAAAATGATTTACACAACATCATTTACAAACCATAAAATTATTTTCAAAAAATATTTTTAAAAAAACATAATTCGTTTTTCGAAATCCATTTTTCGTGAAACACCCGTATCCTGAATAAAATATTATTTATCGATTCAATTAATGTTCAATTTTTAAAAAAATAATTCTATATCATCATATAATTGTAACACCCCTAACTCATATTCGACCCGAAAACAAGTCCAAGATGTCACATTGACTTTTCAAACTTTGATTCTTAAAGTAAAATCCCGGGAATTTAAAACTTTCATTAAAACAAAATATTTTAATTTACATAAAAGAAATCACTTAATACAAAATCGACTAGAGCATTCATAATTAACCACTTATTACATACCAACACTTTATACACAACAAAATATCTACTTTGTCAATTACTTCTGATCTGATTTCTTAGTAATGTTGATGTCCGTGCCACTTCTATTCTGAATCTTCTTATTTCTTGGTACCTACGTGTAAATCACTTACACGCT